GTAGTGATGCAATTATTTGCTGGAGTCCCATGTAAACAATGTCACAAACCAGGCAGATCCCCAGGTCCTGATATGAGATATGACAGAGATATAGTGATTGAAAAAACAAGATGGAGCACAATACATGCCCTATGCCTTTATCTGTATTTTTAAGAAACAGAATTGTACTCTTATACATGTAGAAAGATTCTGGAAGAATACTAATTGCCTACTTTACCATTATAACATGTAATTTTTATGATTAAAAACATCTATTGTTCTCATTATAAAAAGGAATGCAATTTTAGGTAGAACTCAAAAGACATAGAGGGATATAATGACAAAAGTAAGGATTACTCAGATAAAAATAAAAACCACCCAACCACAACCAGATGCTTGTCCTTCGGTATGTTTTTTCAGCGTATACATGTACTTTTCCAAAGGTCAGCACCATAGTGCTAACTAGTTTCCTAGTCCCTTTTTCTCCTCCACTCAGGGCCCTATCATGAGGATTTTTCCAATCATTAGTCAATAATGGAGATATTTTCCCTACATTATCTGGCCTCTCTCCCTTTATCCTAATTCAGGGCAGTGGGACGGGAACAGGCTTTGGCCTCAGAAGACCCACGTGCAGACCAGATCCCTGCCAGGTAGTTGTTCAGGCAAGTCGCTGGCCTGAGCTACCTCACCATGCTGGGCAAACGCAAGGCACCTGAATGACAGGGACAGTGTGAAGATCAGATGGGGCACCCTGGGCAGGTGCCCTCTGCATCACCAAGTGGTAAGAGGCTGCCCTGGCTTTAACCCAGAGCCTCGGGCCTCCCTGGCCTTTCTGACTCCTCCCTCTGCAGATCCCAGCATCTCACACCCACGGGTCCCTGTATGAACGTCACAGGGAAGCCCTCCTCAGGCACGTGTTGCTCTTGCCCTAGCAAGTCCTTAGTGTCTGGCAAAATCCTACTCGCCCTTCAGGTCCATGTCCAGTGCTGGCTTTCCTGGGAGACCTCCCTGGACATCTAAGACTACAATTATGGTTTCTGCTGTGGCTCACATGTTGTTCTCTAGCTGATCTATACACGGTTATCCCACAGTTTAGGGATCCCTTGACTCTTACGCACAATTGGCACCTTTTGGAGTGTCTCCTGTTATCGCTTGGATCTAGGAGGCCCCCAAAGGCCCTCATGGTAGAGGCCTGGGCCTCAGCTTTGTGCTGTTGGGAAGGGGTGGAAACCTTTAGGAAGTGGGCTTACTGGAAGGTCTTAGGTCATTGTTGGGGGGGTGCCCTTGAAGGGGCTTGGTGTCTTTGTTTTTGCTTCCTGGCTGCTGTGAGGGGCACAGCACACTCTACCACACTCTCCCTGCCATGACGTCCTGTCTTACTACAGGCCCAAAGCAACAGGGACAATCAGTCATGGACTGAAATATCTGATACTGTGAGCCAAAATGAAACTTTCCTCTTTTGGGGGGCTGGGGTTGTGGCTCAGTGGTAGAGAACTTCTAGCACATATGAGGCACTGGGTTCAATCCTCAGCATCACACAAAAAATAAATAAAAAATAAAGGCATTGTGACCACTTACAACTAAAAAAGATATTTAAAAAAATTTTTCCTCTTTTTAAGTTGATTATCTCAGGTATTTTGTTATAATAATGGAAAACTTACATACTGCCAATCCTACAATTCATCTCCATTTTTTAAAAGACTTGTCTTCTTGTGCATCAGCCATATTTGGCCCTAGCTGATGAAACAGGGCAAACCCCTGAGATTCTCCCTTCAGGGACTTTGGGATTGACAGAGAATGTTGTACACCAAGAAGATCCAAAAGTAAAGAACAGAGACCAAAACCCCAGCAGGTGAGAGTGACTGGAGGAAGCAACTTGGTCCTGACAGTTTTCTAAGCCAGGGTTTTAGTGCTTGGGAAGTTCTGCTGTTACTTTCAGCAGTTTGGGGCTCTGTGAAATATCCCCCCCACATGTAGCAATATCTTCTCCTGTTTAGGGAGCTGGACACCTAAAGAGATGGCCATAAAACAATGTGAATGGTCAGTAACAGAGACACACCCTGAGTTTTACAGCTTCAAGGAAGTGAGGGAAAGTGCTGAGGTGGGTTAATCTGTCTTTCCATCTTTCATGCCCGGGTTTATCGCCTTCGTATCATTACTCTTGAGCTTTAGGGCTGTTATTAAGAAAAATAAGGGTTGCCTGAACAAAAGCACTGTCCTATCTCAACAGTTGATCTGATAACAGAGATGGTTACTAGGCAACGAGTGGACAGGCAGAATATATAGCATGGATATGCTGGACAAACGGATGATTCACGTACTGGACAAGACCCAGCAGGATGGCACGGGATCTTATCACATGATTCAGGATGGTGCAAAATTGAAAAACTATGAATGGTCTATTTCTGGAATTCCCCATCTAGTATTTGTCAAGCCACAGTTGACTGGGTAACGGTGACAGCCCCAGAACATGGGACTCTCCTGTGGGCATGCGGTCTCCCAGCCTGTCCTATTGAATCAGAGGCTCTAAGGGTGGGAGCTGGGGGCTTTTTTTTCCAAGCTGCCCAGGTGGTTTTAATGTGCAGATGGTGTGGCCAACCTGGCAGGACTCCTCGAGGGTTTTAGAGATGGATATGGTTGAAGAAAATCGTCTTGGAAGCTAGACTTGAGCGGGGAGCCTGCGAGCCACCTGGAATGGGACCAAGTCGTGGGGATGGAGAGCAGGTGAACACTAAGTAGGAGCTAAACACTTTCAAGTTTAAGCTTTAATGTCTGGAGAGGGGGGCGGTAGTTCAGGCCGACTTGATGTTCCTAGCTCAGGCAACTGGAAACTCCCCAGACACAGACAGAGGCAGGGCTGGGGGCAGGCGGGGGGCTCTGCTTTGGACACTTGGAATGGGATGTCCAGGTGGACGCAGCTGAAGAGACCTGTCTAATGCTTCAGGGCTAGACCACAGGGAAGTAATTTGCAGCTTGACAGCTGATTGTGTGTTGGTTTATATTTTTATCATTTATTAAGTGTAGCCTCCAAATAAAGTCACTTTAATAGGTTACAAAGGTGTTGCGGGTGTTAGAAGCCAAGGGTGGCCCCACCCCCGATCGCCTCCTGAGCTGGGGTGTGAAGTGTCTCCAGAACTTGAAGTCAGGTTCTAAAATTAGCAGCCCAGCTGTGCCTCGGTGGCTGACAACTGGGCCTTCCTGCATGGGCTCTGTGTGTGTGAGTGGGTCAGGGATCAAGCAGAATCAGTTTCTTTGAAGAATTTCCCCTGGAGCTGTGTGTCCTTGTGCCAGTGTGCTCAAAGAGGACAGAAATGCCTTCAGTTGCCAAATGGAAGGGAAAGAACGTGGTGGGGGTGGGGGGAATCCTGTAAAAGCAGCCTCATGGAAGGGCTGATAGCTCACTGTGGAAATGACGCCCGAAACACAGGTGAGGAGCCAGGAGCAGTAGTCCATGCCTGTCATCCCAGAGACTCGGGAGGCTCAGACAGGAGGATCCCAAGTTTGAAACCGGCCTGGGCAACTTAACTAAACCCTGTCTCAAGAAAAAAAAAAAAAAAAGGAAGAAAAAGAAAAAGAAAGAGAAGGTGGGGGCTGGGGCTGTAGCTGAGTATCCTCAGTACTGCAAAATAAAATGGAAAATAAACAAATCCAGCAGATTAGGCTCTGCCTAAATAGTTTCTTCTGGGTGGCAGTGGGGCTCAGTGGTGGAGTTAGCCTGGCCTGAGTGAGGCCCTGGGTTCCATCCCTAGCACAACCAAAAACTCACTAAATAAGTTCCTCTTGAGGGAAGACCTGTTAGCAACCGAACGCTCTGGCATATTTCAGAATGGTTTCTTTCCCTCTCCCTTTGCCAGAAGCATGAGGGGATTCTCCTCTGACGTTTCACGTGGAAATCTGACTGAATTCCAAGAAGCAGATCTCACAAAAGTGTGGGAGCCCCCCTGTGTCTGGGTCCCCGTGGAGTTTTTAACTCTCAGACTTTTCACACTTGGCCTCCAGCAATTCATCAATGACAGTTCAGGTCTTTCTGCAGAGCACTCTTCCCACGGAAGCTTCTGCTCATGAGTCTCTGCTCTGGGAGGTGAGCTCTGAGCCTCTGTATCCGTCTGCCCCTCTCTCCAGTTTTAGGGACGCCAGTTTTCCCTGTGACCTCAGGTCTCTCACAGTGGTAAGAAGAGCCTCTTGGTCGGTTTGTTCAGCTTGTCGCTTGCTGGGACAGACTGACAGTGTCCAAGCTCCTAACAAGCAGAACGGGAAACCAGAAGTCTCCTCGCGGGTTCCAATGAAGCCTGTCGCCGTGGGATGAGCTGACTTTCACAGACACCCTTACAGCAAGAAACTGAGACTTCCCACCAACGGCCAGGGAGGAACTGAGTCTCTTATTCCAGCCGAGACCATTATTCTAGGGGTCAGGCAGGGACTGAGTTCTGGCAGCAATGGCTCACAAGAAGGAGAAAGCAGGTCTTCCCAAGTGAGCCTGGGCTGTCACCTCAGAAGGCTCCGGAGCCAGAGGCCTGGATTGCCCAACACAGAACCTGAGAGATGAAGGTCCATTGTTTTGGGTCAACCTGTCATTTGGCTTTAGATCACTAACGCTTGTGCACTCCAGTTTCTGTATTGTCGGTGGACTGCTGGACACCCGGAGAGCCCCGATCTCCTCCTGAGCACCCCCAGATCAGTCCAGACAACCAGGCCCTTGCACTCCAGGCAGACTTGGCCATCTCTTCTTCACAATCTCCTCCCATCATTGGGCATTACAGAAATTTCCCTGGCCTGTTTAAATCCCCTTTAAACAGGCCCACAAAAATAAACACAAAAAATTAAAAGTCAAATAAATGGCCTACAGGTTTTCCCAACAGGCGGTCTCCACTTCCCCTGGCCAGGCCGAGCACAGGGCACAGTCTGGGGGCGGATCTGGAAGCCAGTCTGTCCCTCCCTGTCCCACGGGCAGAGCACCCCCTCCCAGCCCATCTCCGTTCCAGCACTGGGCTTTCTTTCTCTTTTGCTCTCAGAGTGTTGGAGTTGCCAACTCTCCCCAGGCGACAGATTCTAGTGTCTCACAACCTTTTCTCTCTCCTGCTCAACTCGGAGCTGCCATCTCAGCAGAAGCCTCTCCCCCACCTCCTCAGGTCTCCTCAGGTGCTTCCTTTAGGCCCAAGCCCTCTGAGGATCCAGAAGTGGCCCATGGCCAGAGAGAGCAGTCCAGTCCCAGAAACGCAGCTTCTGAGGATGTGGATGGGCGAAGTGAGCCTGATGAAGCTGGGAATGGGGCCGGGGCAGGGCTGGGTGGGGCCTGGGCTGAGAAGCCTAGGGGGAGAAGCAGAGGGGGAGAGGCACAGGGAGGCTGTGCTGGGAAAGAGGTTGTGTCTGCTGGTAGTGTAACGGGGTCCACTTTATGCTTTGAATATGGCTCTTGCTGCTCTGCCCTTGTAGTTTATTTCTAAAACGGACACGTTTCTTTCTCTTCTCCTCTCCCTGCTCCTCCCTAGTCTCTCCCTCATCTCAGGGGAAACAAGGCTGCCTTTCTTCCCCATCCCAGGTAGAGTCACCTGTCCTTGAGCACACACACCCACCAAGGGAACAGAATAATCCAGACTTTGGGGATGGTACCAGAGGATCTCAGAAATGACTGTCTCCCAAATTAACAAGTGAATTACGACTCCAGACAGAGAACACGTGGAATAGAGCCTTTGAGTCACCTCTTTAAAAGCCCCCCGTTTCTGTCTACGGGCAGAATCACAGCCTTTAGGACAGGAGTCCCCTGTGTTTCTCCTTTGCCAGCATAGCAATAAACCTTCTTTTTCCTTTTTCTCAAAACCAGGTCCTCATTACTGGATTGGCACTGGGGACAATGACCGAGCTTTCAGCAACAGCAGCAGCAGCAGCAGTATAGGGGTCAAACTCAGACTGAGAGGCAAGAGCTTCTTGGAACTTGGATGCTCCCATAGCATTAAAAAGGGCCAGGCCGGGCAGGGATCAGAACTTGGCCATCCAGTAGGCTTGGATGATACTGGAGACAGCGAGACCCAGTCCCCAGGCTGCATGTCCTTCCTTTCCATGACTTGCCCTCAGCCTCAAGCACCCTCCTGGTCAGCAAGGACAGAAAGCTTGTCAGGGCTGTTGGCCTTTCATGTTCCACAACTGGCCCCTCTGTGGCCCTTGGAGAAGGGGTGGGTTGTGGGGTGGTGGGCTGCATGCCTTCCATGTCCCTGGTACATCTAATAACCATGAGGAAAGAGAGAAGGGGGTCCCCTCAGTGTTTGGCGGCTTCAGGGTTGGGGAGTGGAGAGGGGCCAAGAGGACAGTAGTGCCTGAAGATTCCAGAAGAGTCCACAGAATATTCCTTTGACCCTGGAGTGGCTGGCAAGCAGGAGGGGTTATCGACTTCCACCACCTGGAGGATGCTCCCACAATTTGCAGACCATTTCCAAGGCTCTTGGTATGAAATGACTCAATTTACATGGAACAGAGCGGATGGTCACAAAAGGGCTGTGTGATATTTGTAATAGCCCCTAAAACCCCTAACCCCAAAGTGTCTTTTTTATGCTGAAGAGATGACTGGTGGTCGGGGAGTGCCTGGATAGCTTCAGGAGGGAGGCTCATCACCTGAGAAACCCTGCAAGGATTAGAGGTTTGGGACTTTTAGCTCCACCCCCAACCTCTAACCTCTTGGGATGAGAAAGGGGCTGAAGGTCAAGTTGATTGGCAATAAACAATGATGTAATCGATAGGGGCTTGGTAATGAAGTTTCCATAAACTTCCAACATGGGTTCTGAGAGCTTCCTGGTTGAACTGGTGCAGGTTCCCAGAGAGTGGCACACAGGGAAAGGGCATGGATACTCCTGCCCCTGGGCCCAGACCTTGCCCTGTGCCTCTCTTCCACCTGGCTCTTGATCTGTATCCTTTGTCATATCCTTCATAACAAGTGCGTGAACCTAAGTAAAGTGTTTCCCTCAGTCCTGTGAACCACCCTAGCAAATTAAAGGAATCCAAGGAGGCAGTCACCAGACCTTGGTTTATAGCCAGTGGGTCAGAAGCAAAGGCCACAACCTAGAACTCACAAATGACATTCGAAGTGGTGATAGTCCTGTGGGACTGAGCCCTTGACCTGTGGGATGTGACTCCATCTCACAGTGCCAATTGAAGCAGAGGACAGCCAGCTGGTGTCTGCTGGAGAGTTGCTTGGCACGGGGACCCACCCCAAGCATGTATAGTTTTACAGTTTTATGTTGTGTGGTGGGAACAGAGAGGGGGAAAAACACTTTGGGTCTTTCTTTTTTTTTTTTTTTTGACTCTTTAGACAGGCTGCTAGATCCTATGGGGATCAAATTGTTTGATATAGCTCAGTACTTAAAAATATGTGTATGTGTGTGTGTGTGTGCGTGCGTGCATGTATCTCAAAGCTACTTAAAAACCAGTATACTTAACTCAGCCCAGAGTTACGTCTTCTCTGTCCACACTGGGCCTTGCCTCCTTACAACATCAAGCACTGGCACCCGATCAAGCGCTCCTTCCAGGCCCAGGTCTCCGGGTCCTCATGCACCACCTGTTTTACTCCTTCATCTGTCTTCCCAGCCCCGGCAGTCATGGACTTTACCCATGGCACTAAAGAATCCACCCGGCCCAGAAGCAAATATGAGCACCATAAAACAAAGACCAAAATTCCTATACTTAAAATGAGCTTTTTATACCTGAGAAAGGATTTTCATAATCTCCCTAATTACATGTCTGCTCCATTTTATTCTTTCTTCCATTGCATTTTCAAGAGCTCTCATAATAGAAATTGCCTGAAAGAGCCAACTGCACTTATGTAATTAGCATAATAATATTGGTCAAGATAAATTAGCTTCGCACAGACATAAAATGAACAGAGGGAGCCACTTTTCTCATTCACCGAAGGAGGTCATACCATATAGACTAAGTTCAGAGATGCTAGTTTGGTCAAAAGTAATCTTCTCTTATTAAAATAGAAATAAAATATCTGAATTATACTAGAAGAGCAGCTGCTGAGCCCAGTGCTGATTCCATGAGGAGACCAGGGGAGGGGGTGGGCTATGCTGGTGACGCCCCAGAGTCTTACCCAGGGACAGGCACAGTCATTTTCTCATCACTGTCAGGTTATTAGCTACTCAAATGAATAATCCAAGTTCTAGTCAATTGATCAACTGGAGCATTGGCTTCTGCCCTGCATTGTTTTGAATGTGCCCCTGTAGGACTGCGCTAACTAATGGCACAAAACAATCCCCAATCAGAGGCGCTCAACACACTCTAATTGGATTTGAACATGGGTTTCCAAAAAGATCATCAGCAACCCATAAGTTCTAGTTTCTAGTTCGGCTTAATAGCTCTTCTGCTCTGTAACCCTGGGCAGGAGGTTCCTGCTGTCATTTTCCAAGTCCCTTGCCCTGCAAAAATTGTGGCGTCAGCACATGAGCTGGGGGTAAGCACAAAGGCCTTTTTTAGGGCAGAGGGGATCCACCCTGAGGACCTGTGGTCTGGAATTCCTTCAGAAGTTTTAAGTGGTTTCAGTCACATCTGCCTTCAGGCTGTTCTCCAAGATGTCACAAGGGGTTGTGGTCCTACTCCCGAGGAAAGGTAGTTTAAAGAAGATGCATTTCAAAAAAATCTTAAGTAAGGAAGCCTAAGGAAAGAAGGTAGATCAATACGGTGCTTCTAATTAGAATAGGGAACTCGGTTTAAAAAGGATTTAAACCACGAAACTACAAGTCACTTCGTTATTCATCAGACCCTGGAGCAGTCTCCTGGCTCGGCCACACTAGTTGCATGGCAGGATTCAGGGGTACCAGCAAAATGACTCTCCCTGAAGAAAGAAATCAGATCCATTTTTCCCCTTGCTATCACTGTGCCCTGCGTTAATTTAATCAACAGACACACAGTGAGCCTATGCCAGGCACAGACCCTGCCTGATAAATACTGATCACTGAACAATACCCCACACTCAATTCCAAGTTCCCTCTGTTAATGTCTCCCCTGCCTGCTGGGAGTGAATCTTATTAAAGATGCATTTCGAGTTGCAGGGTGTGTGAGCTGGACCCGCCAACTGGAAATAAAGCATCTGTATGACTGTGCAGAGCTCGAACAACAGCCAGCTCCCTCCCGCACACCCAGGGGGACCTCGCACCCCCATTTTGCTGTTCTGTGATAATTGCCTAGCCTCAGGAACCAGACACCTGGGTTTCATTTTGTTTTTCATGTGACATGAACTTAGGTTTCTTCCTCTTCAGAACAAGTTATTGGAGGTGAATCTGCACCACGACAAGATGTGGGAGATGTTAAATTCCCACTGCTGATCCCTGGGGTTCCTGTTACTCTCTCCCACTCCAAGCATGAACACTGACCTCCACGGAGCCGACGTCGAAACGCTCTGTTCTGTATTGTTCTCTTTTAAATAATTCATACTTGGTGAGATGTGCAGTTTTTGAAGTAAAATATAAAAATAAAAAAGGAAAGAACTCAAAGTAACTGAGGAAGGCGTTTGTTATAGATTGCCGGTGGGGCCATCATGCTGATGAGACAGGACAGGGCTGCCGAGGAAAGACTGACAGTCGGCACCCAGGGGACACCCTGGACACGACCCAAAGCCTTGGGAAGAAGGACCAGGACATCAGCTCATCTTGCACCCGAGAGATGCGTGCAAAAGCCAGTCCTCCCCACAGCAGAAAGGGCTGCTGCTGCTTCCTCCTGCAAACGCCTTTCTCCTTTCTCTGGGTGGAACGTGTTTTCTCCTTTCTGGTTAGAAAAGCAAAAACGGCACCTTGGCTTCCCCTTTGTGGCACATCATAAACTCCCCTGTCTGCATCGCTCAGGAGAGAGAACCCGCGACTCTCTGTCCTTGACTGTGCCTGGAGCCGACTTCAGTTTCTAGGAGACTCAGCTCCCGCCCCCGGCCTTGGCAGGGAGCAACACCCCCCCTCCCCAACAATATGGAATTTTGAGTGCTGCTGAGCCCCCAGGACTTGCTCTGTATCTCTCTGGGGGTATTTTCTTTGAATGCAATCCAGTCTCTCCGATTCCCACGTCCCAAGAAGCTGTTCTCTTGTGTCTGATGGAACATTCTGTTGCTGTTCACAGGGAGCCAGTCTTATTTTGTTCTTTTCATTAGGGAATGTTTTCATCAGGGCCCTCGAATTGAAAAGGCACCATGCTCAGAAAGAGGGTGGCTTTGTCTCCCCCCCACCCCCCACCCCTTTTCATGACCTCTGACAGGAGCTCTCTGGAGGCTCCAAACAAGGCATAATGGGCAGAACAGCTGAGCGCGGAGCTGGGGGGATATTGGGATTTGCAGAGAGACTGCCAGCCAGGCTGCCTGGAGATAGTAAAATGTCATCTCTATATTTTGGACCTGCCTAGCTTATTTAGTTAATGCTGGAAAGGAGAATCGAGTTTGTTCTCAAGGGAGAGAGCAGAAGGAGAAAACAGGCATACAGACAGCTGACAGCATTCCAGCCACTCTGTCCCCCCGCCCCCAGTAGATCCAGGGACCAGCAGCCAATTCAAGTCCCCTTGACATGATGCTGGCCTCTAGCAGAGGTGTCCAAGTCCCCCTGGACATAGAGGTCGTGCTGAGTTCTACCCTGTTCACTCAGGTTCTTAGGAAGCAGAGATTCAGATAACATTTGTTATTAATTATGTGTCAGGCATTAGGCTTGGTGCTTTTACTTAACTTAATCCTTGCAAAAATTAGAAGTTAGGTCTTATGACTGATGTGTGTGTGGACTGATTTTCTTGTATCTGCATTCACGTGATGCACATGCTTCCTTGGTCTGATCAGGGCTCAGAGGTCTCCTGTGACAAGCCTTTCCCAAGCCTCTTAGGCGTCACCACGGCACCTGCTATGCTCTATCTATTTGCATAACCCCTTTGTCACTACTACAGTCGGGATGAGCTCCTTATGGCAATCCTTGATTCTCTCCTTATGTTTAGTCTAGAGTCTGTCCTATTGTGTGTCCCCTCCCCCTGCCAATGGCTATTTTTTTTCTTCTCCATGGTTTCCAATTTTTTATCCACCTGTGCTTATTTCATTTCCACCTACGCTTATAATATGACACCAAATGGTGGCATATATTCTTTTAAAAGATATAATTCCCTCATTTATCTCCTTGAGGGTTCTGAAAGTACATATTTTCAAGTCTTTCAGTCTTTTTAATAAATTATTTTCTTTCTTTCTGGAAAATCTCATATTCCACTTAATGATTTCACTGGCTCTTTCTTGGTGTAAGGTTTCTTCATGCATCTTAAAATTGGGCTTGAAGGACCGTCAGATATGGAAGGGCTCCCTGCCTTTCTTTTCCTCTCTCTGTGCTCCCTCGTGGGGCTTGGCCTTGACCTCCTCTTTAGACACCAAGCCGTACACCAGGTGGTGATGGCAGGTCTGCAGCCCCCTCCACAAGCCAGGGAAGTCCCACCCTGGCCTCCGGTCACCTGTGGCCCTGGCTCCCTGGCCCCACTTGGAACACTTTTCCCCTGAGGTGCACATTTACCTGAAAAAGCCAAACTTACAGCGAGAACTATCCCCTTCTAGACCCTGGGCCCTGTGGGCTCTCCCATCAGTCTCTACTCACTGCCTCCCATTCCAATTCTGTTTCAGATCCAGGGACCTAAGCCCCTCATTCCTGAGCATGGCTTCTCTTTTACATGTCACATGTCACCGCTATGTGCTGGTGCAGAGGGGATTTCAAAGCAAAAACACCATCAAGTTAGGGGAACAGGGGGGAGGAGCTAGGGAAGGTAAGTATCATGAGATGGAACAGGGAGGAGAAAATGGGCAATCATGCAGAGGCTGAAGAGTGGTCAGCTGAAGTGGTGATAGGTTCAAAAATCAACATGGGTTCTGAGCAGGAGCCCAGCTATTCCTGGAAAGCAAGGCCATAAAACTAGAGTTGGGTTAAAAGCCCAAACTTCCCAGGCCTCCCTTCCCCCCTCCTCCTTGTTTCCCAGGCCCCTCTCCCGCCCCCTTTCAGGTCAGTAATCACCTTTGGGGAGACTGTCCAGGCTGGCAGGCTTCACACTGTCCTATTTTTAGCACAGAAAATCCTCTTCCTAGGGCAGCCCTTGGTTCCAAGCAAGGCCCACCCAGGCAGTGTGGAGAGCCTCTCTGTTGGTAGAGGGTCAGAGCTCACCTTGACCAAGAAGAGTGAAGAGGTGAGAATGAAATCCCGTGGGGAGATGCTGTAGAACAAGGCAGCAGGAGGATTGTCCTGGACTGAGAGGAAGAGCTTACCTGGGAACATGATTGACCACAGGAAGCAGAAGATTTGGGGAAAAGTATGGCATGTTCAATAGAAAAACGAGGAGAAAAAAAGACTTACAGAATCCAAAGAGACAAATGCACTAAGAATGAACCACAGGCCTTCTGAGTTCATAGCCTCTGAGCCCAACCAGGGACCAGGGTGCTGGACCACCAAGTGGCTCACGCACAGCGACAGGGACAGCATTCCAGCATAATGCTTATTCCAAACTCTCAGTGGCTCTGATCTCACCAAGTCCTGCTGTATTGTTTATTTCCTGAACACAGTTGTTCTATTTTGAAAAAACATTAAATTACCATGTCCTGGTGGCAGGCACCCAGGAAGACAGGTAAGGTAATGGAGACAGCAGGCTACTGCTCCTGGCCTCCAGCACCCTGCCCTGGGTTGAGCACGACCTTCCGACGACTCACAGGAATCAAGTACCCTGGCTCAGGAAGCTGTCAGGAAGGCTCATCACTGCTCTGACATGGCCAACCCCTTCCCACCTCCAGGCTTGGCTCACCCCGCTCAATGCCGACAGGCTCAGAACTTCAGTCCTCTCTTCCTCAGCCTCCAGGGAATGATCAGCTCGCAGGAGAAGAGTGCAGGGGGAGCCATCAGGTATCCCATCAATCAGGCTCTTATACCACAACCCTGCCTTGTGGGCCACAGTGACACACATGGCCACAAACGAGGACCAGCAGAGATCACGGATGCTACCTGCCACAGCGACTGGGCAAGGGTTAGCCATCTGACCCAAATGGGGCCAGGTGCAGTGTGTCCTCCTTGGCGGGTATGACCTGGGGTCATAGAGCACAGTACTCCCTGTGTCTCCGTGGGGGAGACCAACAGCTCTGAAGCCCCCAGGGTGGTGCTTCGCATCCCAAGGGGCAGCTGGCCAGTGGGAGGAGTGAGGGGCCACATCCATCGCCACCTCCCCCTGAGGTGTGGCATACCTCTACCCTGCTGAGGTCCTGTCAGCCTGCATTCTCCTTTGGGTCTAAATGAGTTTAAAGAAGGCATTGACATTTACAACCAAAATAAATAAAATCTTTAGTGATTATTATCCCTTATATGTTTTGGTTTTTCAAAAGAAAGTTATTTTTTTTCTGATTATAAGAATAACGCTCATTTAAAAAATTTTTTCAAACAATACTGAAAAGTATAAGTAAAAATGACTATTATCCACCACCCAGACACAGTCATTGTCTGATATTATTTTACCAGGAATTTCTTTCTGATGAAAAAGAGATAATTTTACAAGAGTGAGGCACATGCGATTTTATAACACACCATTTTAATTAGAAATAGGCTTTGGGTATCTTTATAGAACAATCCTTTTGGGCTGGGAATGTAGCTCAGCAACAGAGCTCTTGCCCAGCATGCAGAAGCCCTGGGTTCAATCCCCAGCACTGCAAAAGAGAGAAAAAATAGAGCAAAAAAATAGAACAATAGTACAATTTTAAATGGGTACATGTTATTTTATGATTTAATGACACTTTACCCATTATCCCCTTTGTTGGGCATTCAGGTTAACACAACCATGAACATCCTTGTGTGTGTGTTTTGGAGCTTCTCAGACTTGTGTTTGCTCGTGTGCTGGGGATTGATCCCAGGACTCCCATGTGCTAAGCGTGTGCTTCACCACGGAGCTGCAGGCGCAGCCCACTCTTCAGATCCTAGAACTGTAGTGTGCCGTTTGGCAACTCCTCCTGGGCCTCCCTGGGAGCCTCATGTATGGTCTTGGGATCCACTGCCTCAGCGTTCATACCAAGGAGCATTACTGAGGGTAAGTATGCGTATGCCAGCCACTGTGTCTGATCTGGGCGGGCGAGGGTTACCAGGGGCTGAACTCAGGGGCACTCAACCACTGAGCCACATCCCCAGCCCTATTTTGTATTGTATTTAGAGACAGGGTCTCACTGAGCAGCTTAGCGCCTTGCTAAATTGCCAAGGCTGGCTTTGACCTTGTGCTCCTCCTGCCTCAGCTCCCAAGCTGATGGGATTATAGACCAACCAGTGCCACTGTGCCCGGCACTGTATTTGAATTTGAGGAAACAAATGTGGACAAGTTTGGGGTTTTACCCCAAGGAGAAAAGAGAAACCCACATCTGTGGAACTCTGTGCTAAGACTAGACATGACCCTGTATCTCATTGATTCTTTATTTTTAACAAGGGCCTGGGCAGTGGTTAGTGTCACCTCTTTATACAAATGAGGAAAAGACAGATCAG